TGGGGGTGGGGGTAGAGGATAGTGAGGGGGAGGGTGGGAGGTGAGGGTGAGGGGTAGAGGATAGTGAGGGGGTGAGGGGTAGAGGATAGTAAGGGGTGAGGGGTGGGGATGTGGGGGTGAGCGGTAGAGATAGTGAGGGGGACTGTATACATATGTGGATATTTCTCTACTTATTTTCATTTTGTTTTCTCTCTCAGTCTCTCATCCTCTCATTATCTCTCTTCCTCTCCTTCTTATACTGGTGTTTTTGAGATCTCTTCCTCCTCCTTCGTGTGTGTGTCTCTATGTGTTATACCTTACATACATCTCGTCATGTCTCAAAGGGCCTGACTGAATGGGAACCTGTGGGGATTTTATTTATTTATTTATTTATTTTATTTTTTTTTTTTTATTTTTTATTTTTTTTTAGTTGCTCAGTTTTTCTTCTCATATAAATTATAAATACTAGTATACATATGTGGTGAATACAGGTGTGTAGATGACTGGGAGGTGCTACAGGTGTGGAGGTGACTGTTGTAAGTGCTGCAGGTGTGGGGGTGACATTGTTGTAGAGGTGCAGCAGGTGTGGGGTGACAGTGTTGTAAGAGGTGCAGCAGGTGTGGAGGTGACTGTTGTAGAGGTGCAGCAGGTGTGGGGGTGACAGTGTTGGAGGTGCAGCAGGTGTGGAGGTGACATTGTTGTAGAGGTGCAGCAGGTGTGGGGGTGACAGTGTTGTAAGAGGTGCAGCAGGTGTGGGGTGACAGTGTTGTAAGAGGTGCAGCAGGTGTGGAGGTGACTGTTGTAAGAGGTGCAGCAGGTGTGGGGGTGACAGTGTTGTAAGAGGTGCAGCAGGTGTGGAGGTGACAGTGTTGTAAGAGGTGCAGCAGGTGTGGAGGTGACAGTGTTGTAAAGCCTCTTCGTCATGAAAAGGTTTTGTAATCATGAATAAAGGGGAGAAGATGAAGCTGTCATGGGCGGTGCATGACAGTCTCTGTGGCCGTGTTGACGGCCTCTCACTTATGTGCACATCCAACACACACACACGCATGTACACACGCCTGGACGCACATGATCACGAGCGTGTGAACCCAATGACACACTCACACGGACACACATGCATGTACTTTACACGCATCACGTACATGTGTGTGTCTCCTTCACATACATACACTCTCACATTTATCCTACTACTACTACTACTTTTTTTTATTCCCCAGGCCGCCATCCTCCCCTTATAGCCATACCTTCGCCGCCATTTTATTACCTTAAAATTAAATATCCTAATACATAAGTAGCTATCCTAGCTGTGTTGAGTTAGTTGAGCCGCAGATCAATGCGGCATTCAGTGACTGTAGCCTCATAGTTAATATCTGCAGCTGTTGTCGGCTTTGGGGCCAATGCTCTCGTTCCCCTGAGGCAGAGCAAAACAGACCTAAGGAGAGAGAAGGATAGTCGACATCTCATCCAGGCTGTAACATAACTTCTGGGCTGCTGCTTCTGTTCGGACAGCACCTCCGCGAGTCTGGCGTAGAAGCATCTTGCACTTGGTTCCATCCCACCAGAGGTTGTGAACACCAGAGGAGTGAAGCTGCCTTGATCAACGTTCTGAATTCTCTCCCCGTATTCCCTTATCTTGTCGTTCTCGTTCCTCCTGTGTGCAGCATCTAGAGCTAAGTTACGGTGACATGTGGCCATGGGATAAAAAATCCTGATGTCGAAGAAGGCTCGCTGTCCCCCTGTCCCCGCGTCCAGAATCCTCGAGCACTGACGTCAACACGGGCTTCGTTGGATGTGTTTGAAGTCCTATATTAGAAATTCTCACCGTCCAATGGAAGGAGGGTCGGTTCTACCCTGACATCACGACAGATTTCCTTCAACATATTTGCTGTGAGATCCCTTACTTCGTCATGCCTCATGCATATGAAGCCCCCTTTCTTGCACAGCATGGCGTGATCGACGTCATAGGAAGAGACACACACGCATTGGGAGGGCAAACCTTCTACTGGCCTACCGTACCTACTACTGCTACTACTATTACTACTACTACTACTATAGCCAGGTGTAATTATAAATATTCAAAATAATATTTTGACCCAGCACGAGTTTTCGCCATTCAGTACAGGTGCAATTTTTTTTAAGCAACATCGAAGGACATAAAAATAATGTTTTTATCATTATATCTCCCACACACGCACACTCATTTCCATATATATTATCAGTAGGAGTAATGTCTGGCGAGGAGAGAGGGGGGGTTCCTGGTTAAAGTAAAAGTTTGGTTGGGTTAAGTTAGATTAGGTTACTTTCATTCGAGCTTTGAGTATACACACTTCTCTTGCTACTTGAAAGGACACACACACACACACACACACACACACACACACACACACACACACACACACACTCTCTCTCTCTCTCTCTCTCTCTCTCTCTCTCCTTGCTAGATTATCTACCTTCCTCTCTTGTGAGGTACTCGTTACTCCTTCTCCTCCTGCTCTCTGTTTCTGTCTCTTTTGTTCTTACT